GCCTATAAAAAGATTTCGGCAATTAACCTTGATGATAGGATATGCCACAGGTATTCTATGAAGTCTATCAAAACAAAAAAAGCCAAAGAAAGCGATCTTATGGATGGTTTGATTATAAAATCCAGTTTCTAAGGTTCATGCTTTGCTATTCACTATGTACTAAAAAGATCATATGTGGATATTTGCATCTTCGTATTGGTGAATTTTCATCGGAAGTGTGCGGAAGAGAGAATGAGACTCTATCGTATGAATTCTACTTATTTGGTAGTAAAATCTGTAGACTTATCCAGATCTTGTGAAAGAAAACCAGAAGTAAAACTTCACATACTTTCGAAGAAACATTTTATTGCTAGAAGTAAATGAGATTACTGAAAAATTACCTGACGGTTGTTATATCATTTTACCGATCACATGAAGTCTTTACTTAGTATTTCTGCTATAATTGTAGTTTGTAAAATACACTCTCATTCTTGTTATCACTAATATGTGCATTGGGGTTATATATTAACCATCACTTTACACACGATATTATTCTTGAGTCTCCTTATACTTAGTCTTTTCTTTTACTACTGATGTTGTTACTACTTGAACTATTCTGAAATTTATCTTGATCGCTTTATCTCACTGCACTAAAAAGGTATAGCTACTTGAACGTATAGGTTCTACGTTACACATGACTAACTGATTGACTGATTTGAATCCATTGGTTTCAAATCACTCAATCTCAAGATCTAATCAGATTAAAACTACCACAGTAAGTGTACAAAAGTTGAAATATTTTCCTAATAAATATATCCATATGAGTTTAACTTGTTGTTCTTCTAATAACCAGAATCGTTATTGTTTGCACAAAACAGTATAAGTTGGTATTATATTTAAAGATAACCACCAATACTGAAGTTTACAATACGTATTTTATCCTATTTTAGACATAACAGTTGAATATACATACATCATAATGTTAAGGTTCACATTAAAACTCAAACCCAATACTCATCACTTTGAATATCGAAAACATCAGCCACTAAGCTATTAAATCATTAAAACTACTAAGTACATCTTGAATTATACTATTCACCATTTAGTAAAGATATCATTAACCTATTACTACAGGTAATATATCAAAGAATCTACCTAATGAAACCTAATGTCACCTGACGTTAATGAAACCCAGTCTTCAACAACAGAAGATTACCAATCCTTACAGATGAAAATAATAGTAAAACATATTACCAGAATATAATTTATTTTATAGATCAAAAAAACAATCATTTTCATTTCTTGTGTTTTACCCAACAACAACAACAAAAAACCCAGCGTCGGTGTTTTCTTTCATATACAAATCTGTTTTCTTTCCTTGAACGTGTATTTATGCATAATTCTTGTATTCTTTTCTTCTAAAAAAGTACTTGTTTTAACCAAATATACTAATAAATCACCATCCATACTAGTAACTACAATAATAATTCTTCATTATTATTATTACTATCAGTATCATTATTATTATCAGTGTTGTTAAGTAGTATTCAGTAAGGTTAGACAAGAATTATCATTTCTGTGTTTAGGCTGATTAAAGAAAAATACGAGTAATTCATTGACATGGGAAATTAGACTTTTATTAGTATTAAACTGATGATGAATATTTTTTCCCTTTTTTTTCCCTATTGAATGTGTTTACACTTGAATAATATACACTCTTGTTGTACACACATATATATATATATAGATACATACCAACATTTGTAATATACACTATTAGGTAATATAGTTTACAGAAAATAGATTAGGTTTTCCAGGTATTTTCTTTATTATAAATATTGTTTTTACATCACTTAAGGTAAACTATTCATTTAGATACTATTTCTATTAATAAGATAATAATACGAAATATTGCTGGCGTCTTTTGGGATCACTGGGTAAGTAATAGTGAGGTTAGACGTAGGGTATTAGGTTATGATGGTAAATCAGTTGATGAGGTTGTGAATCTTCATCGACTGAGATGGTTGGGCCGCATGTTACGTATGCCTTATTGCAATCTTTCTTTTGTATATTACCACCTCTGAATTAACTACTTTATATATCCGGTGTCCATGAGGTATGGCAACTTGGACCGATGCATATATGCGCCTGGTCCTACGTTGTAGCTGACTGACTGACTGAGATAATAATACATGTAATTTTTGATAGAAATTTTGAAGAACTATTCATCATTCCTTCTATAGTAGATTTAAATTAGACTTGCAATTATAATTAATTGTACAATCCACTTTTGAATATTCTATACTATTAGCCAAATATCCTAGAATCTATTCTATCTTTGATGATGTGAATACAACAGTCATCAAAAAAATAGATATTAATACCAAGGTTTCACTTGATAGTTTCAAGTGAATTGAGCATTATGTAGAGAGTACTATTTAAACTTGTATAGGGGTTGTGGAGATTATTAAGTTTTGGATTGAGATCATGAACCGATTAATATTAGACCGCCTTTGGAAACCTGGAATCACTGGACTGACGTTTCGTCCTATTGTGGGACTCCTCAGCAGTGCGCATCCACGATCCTGCTGGTGGAATTCGAACCCAGGGCCTCCAGTCTCGCGCGTGGACGCTTAACCTACTGGACCACTGAGCCGGCGTCCAATGGTGATAGTGTCTAACCTCAACCAATCCATGAAATTGCGCTACAATCTTCCATTGTACTGAGGTAGATACCTGTCTCTACCTGACATGGATTAGTTCCACTGCTCACGGCTTCTCACTAGAACTTGTGTTAATTTAATTTCGATTGTTTATTTATTGTGAAGAAATGGTTTACATTAAGTCATGAAACGTCAGAAATACAATTTTTCTATTGATTGGGATATAACAAAAATAGTTGGTTAGGTGCTTGGCGCGAGACCGATAGGTCCTGGGTTCGAATCCCGTAAGGTGGGTTCGTGGATGCGCACTGCTGAGGAGTTCCACAATAGGACGAAACAGCCGTCCAGTGCTTCCAGGTTTTCCATGGTGGTCTAGCTTCAATTGACTCATGACCTCAACTCTTGAAAAATATATTTATTATTATTAATTATCAAAAATCTTTGATTGTTAATAGAAAGAAGTGATTTCTCCACTTCTTATGACTCAGATTTATTATTAGAATTTCTTGATCCTATAAAAAGATCAAATAATTTAATTGTACTAAAATCTATGAATTGAAATACAAAGATTGTGTTGTTTTTGTAAGAAAAATGGTTAAATAGTTGAACGTAAATCATATAGATTGATGGCTATGGTTAGTTCAAAGTAAAATTGATCTAAATTTTGAGGATCTGGTTTTATTTATTCCAGTAAATGTAATTGGATAGAATAAGAAAAGAAAAATATGATATGTATATTAGATAATTACATTGAAGATTTTTTACAAGAGATCAGAACTTTAATGCTTCAAAAATGATTGAATTTGAAAAGATAGACAGCTAGATTACGATTCAGTAGTTAAATGGTATTGATTTTATGGAATTATCTAAACTTTATATGTATCAATGTATGAGCCTTGTACACTACTGACGAACCATGGATCGAGACAAAACAGACATTTATTGCCTACCGGTTTTAATTAATTTTTCAACTGTTTATTTTGAATAACAGAATCGCTTATCTAGAACTCCACGTGTAGTCTAAATAAGGATCATTAGATTCCCTTGTTACATTTATAGTTCTGAGTAGGTATAACACGATTCTCGTCTTACAACTGCAGTCAAATCATGGTCCAATGCAAACATCAATGAATGTGTGTGACTGTTTCATTCATAAATATAGTTAATTCAACGGTTTATGAAACAAATTAAAAAGTTTTCAACACGAAGATGATCTTTGGTTATTTGAAGTTGCAGTTTGTAAAGATTTTGTGACATTTTTTAAACTCTCCCTTGAATTACCCAAATAAATAAATGTATCCTATTCAAGTTCTCTCATTTCATTATCTTTTTTTCAGTTTTTTGGACTGGTGAACATTGTACATAACATAAAAAAGATGAGGAATATTTATAGTTGTGGAAAAGGATACTAGAAACGCTGTGTCCTCCGCAGACTTTGATCCGGTATCATTCACACGACTAAACTATCCAGATCGAATTACAAAACGTATTCAAAATAACTCCAAATCGGTTTCTCCATTAAAAGAAATCTGATTAGAACTCCTGACCTACGGAGTTAAACAAGCTACGGTTAGTGATGTTTGATATTTAACGATATTATTATATTTGATAGTGATGCATTGAATATTGTAAAAACCTATAAACCTCTGACTATTGGTCATATAGTTCAGAGCTAACGAACTCTCTGGTAGAATGTAAAGCCATAAATTGAAATTCTGGCAAATTGATTCTTTATTAGTTTTTATAATGTTGTAAAAAATTATTATGTTACCACTAATTAATTCAATATTAACTGCCTAATTCAGTTATTTATCCCATGAATATGTATAATTGCTATTGTCATAAATCTGGCAATGAATTTCCAATTTAGCAATAATGCCAAACTAAATATACTTCTTGAATAGTTGTTAAAAACCTACTGAATATTACAGAGTACTGTATAGTTTTTATGAACAATATAAATTAGGAGTAACAGTGGAATCTAGGATTCAGGTTTCATACTATTTCAGTCAGGTCAACTGGATGTATCTACCCCTTAGTATCGATATTCGCACTAAGACTTAAATTCAGTACTTTTCTCTTCAAACATTGAACACGTTGCCTACCAAGCTATTTAGTTCATATAGCCACTTACTTGTGTATCTGGTACAATCAATACTAGCATTCAAGTGTATCCAACTGGCAAGTCCCAAATACGACAAAACACTGCAAGCTATAATCCATATCTTCTAAGAAAACATATGATAAAATGTCTAGTATCAAAACAATCTGGACAGGATATGTATGCCAATCAAGATTGATGAAGATTCAATCAAGATTATCAATCACAGGATAGTTCAAATACTTTTAAATAATGTTTTATGTATTAAATAGCCATTTTATAGTGATCTCAGACTTCAATGAATTTAATTCCATAGTTTCAATATTATTTGTGGTAGTAGTAGTAGCAGTAGTAGTTAGCCATTTTATAGTGATCTCAAACTTCAATGAATTTAATTCCATAGTTTCAATATTATTTGTGGTAGTAGTAGTAGCAGTAGTAGTTAGCCATTTTATAGTGATCTCAAACTTCAATGAATTTAATTCCATAGTTTCAATATTATTTGTGGTAGTAGTAGTAGTAGTAGTAGTAGTAGTAGTAGTAGTAGTAGTAGTAGTAGTAGTAGTAGTAGTAGTAGTAGTAGTAGTAGTAGTAGTAGTAGTAGTAGTAGTAGTAGTAGTAGTAGTAGTAGTAGTAGTAGTAGTAGTAGTAGTAGTAGTAGTAGTAGTAGTAGTAGTAGTAGTAGTAGTAGTAGTAGTAGTAGCAAGGGGTATGAACTTATGGAAAAGTTCCAAATAAAGATGAAACAATCATTGAATCATTTATTGATTTCTCAATTGACCATGATAAAACTATTTGACATGATCATAATGTTATCTTTTGTTTTCGTTTTACTGTTGAATTAGTTCAATATTATATTCATGAAGGGATTCATTACTGATCTTATCCATTATGATAAATTCTCTTAATTTTTTATTTTTTTGTTTTCTAGTAAAAATGAGTCATATAAGTAAATTTTCATTTGTTTAATAATTGAGAAAAAAAGAAAGAAGAAACTTTATTGTATCTAGTACAATTGATTTATGTTGATGTACGTGGTCTCTTTATTTAGGCATAACAATATAGAATTAATGATTGACCACAATTACTTAGTAAATATATATAAGAGAGAGAGATATACACCTCTTCTCATTACTTTTTATACCATCTACTCTTCTTTGTCTAATTCACTAGTAATATACTTACTTGTCTTATATTCACCTACATTACATTGAACTAAACTAAATATTAGTAGTATTATACATTTTTTTTTAAAAAAAAGTGTATTACAATGTAGAACGATAAAGGAAGGGATGTTAAATACCAAAATATTCCTCTTTTTTTGTTAAAAAAAACGCAACTTCATAGTGAATCAATGATGAATTACAAAAGAAAAGAAAAAACAAACAATACTTGATTGACATTTTTTTTGTGTCTGTGTCCATTTTCATTACAATAAAGTTACTTTTTTTATTTGTTTGTTTCATCGAACAAACAATACAAATCTAGTAAATGAAAGCAATAGATTCCAAAAGATTAAGCCAAAGATGACACTGTCTATACATTTTAGTGAATTTTTTTTATATGATTAGGAAAATAGGAGAAACTGAAAGAGAGAGTGTGTGTGTGTGTGAGAGAGAGAGAGGGGGGAGAACGGGGGAGGGTGCAAAGTATGAAAGGGGACAACAAATATGCCATATTCAAATTTCTTTGCAATTTTTAATCATAAAAAAAATAATAATAAGTAAACAAAGTTTCATAAGAAGTTGAGTCATCTTTTGAATAGTTTTTTTTTTAAGTAAATAATAAATAGTCCACATGTGGATAGTTTACAATCACAATGCATTTGTCATTATATAAGGGTGATAGACAAAAATTATTCGAATGGATACAATAAATGATTAGTTCACTTTTATCTTCAAAATAACTCAGATCTAATCATGCTATTGAGGATTGTAAGAGATGAGAATATTTGTGTACATGTATGCATTTGTCGCATAAACAAATCTTTATTGAATAGTCTAAAAGTATAATGATCACTTCAAGACTCGATGATTTTAGGTTTCAACCTATGTTATAGTAAATGTGTAATGCATAGTAGACGAACAACTGCAATACTGATTCTCAGTGTTACTTTAACTAGTGTTCATTCGTGATGAAAATTATTTATTAATTATAAACAAAACCTTTACGAATCTGAATACGTTCAGTAAATATTATCTGGTTTATATAGTACTATTATGGATACTATGAAATAAGATTAGAGGTGAAAGTACACATTTTGACTACCTTAATAGACTCTAAAATAATCTTAAAGAAATAAAGATAATATTTTATAGCCAATTAGAATATTGGTAATATGAATCAGTAGTTTGTAATATCAAAATTCGAAATGAGCCAGGGTCAAGTTAATGAGTTTGGATTAGATTAAAGGTCCTAACATAGAGTTATGATTTAGACTTTGGATTAGTTATGATGTTAAGAGTCCGTAATAATGGTTAGGAACAAAGAGATAGAATGCTTCGTAGTCATCTTAATGAATGCTTATGCAGTTATTTCAGTAATTTCAAATTAAAAGAACCTTTAGGTTGTTTTTCAAAGGTTATAAATGATGCTAAAATGTTACATATATTCTAATTCAATTTGTTTTATATTATTTTTCTTATCAAAATCTAGTCATTTCTTCATAACCCTATTAAGAATCGCTCAAATGCATCAGCAATACGTAGTTTTGACATATTTATCAAGCTTTTGTTTACTAAAGATTGGTAGATTTTACTTCTTACTTAACTCTTAGTAAGATACAAACAATTAGTTGGTGCTTTCTGAATTTCGAGATAAATCCCGATAGCTTACACCTTAATTCTGATTGGTTCATCAGTGTAATATGCTTTTATCAGATTAGCTATTATGTACTCTAAGCAATGTACCTAATTATTAGGTACACGCTTACGTACTCATTTTTGAGATATAATATCTGTGTTATGCCTGATGGTATTGTCCGTTTGTTCAAAACCAAATCAATTTACGGATTGCAGACGAGGCTTCTAATGAGGAAATGGTTGGCCGATATCTGATTGCCTTTTTTTACTTTTAATTATGATTTTTACCCCTCGTCGAGGAGCATTGTCCACCCACCAGGATTCTCCATTGAACTCTGTCCTGGACAATCCTTTCCAGTTATTTCCAGTTGCTATTCGTCTTTTTGATATCTGCTTTTAATTCCCAAAGCAATATGTTCCTTGGTCTTCCTCTTTCCTTCTTCTTTCAGGATTCCGAGTTCGCTAACCAGATTGTTTTTCTTTCCAGTAGATTATTACTCCATTCAGATAAAGTAAATACAAACAACTATATCGTTGATGTATTTTTCACCTCGTCTTTATTACTACTGATACTATGTTACTCAAAGAAGACATTTTGAATAATCGTTTCTGTCATACAGTAAATAAATTTACAGATGTTCTACTTTCTTTCCTGATAAAAAGGTTATTTATTCTTAGGTTTCTTTGACTCACCGTTTTTATTTCATCATTTAACGTCATCAATATCATCATCGCCGTTGTTTAACTATTCGAATAAGTGTATACAATGCCTCTGTCTATTCATAACATTTCATATAAATTGATAAATATACAGATTTTTCCGAAAAAAATAGAAGAAATTTCTCAGTCTTGTGTCTGACGTGTATTGTCTGGGTGTGTGTTAAGTTTTTTCTCTTTTCTTCTCTGGTTACTTTAAATCCTTTCTTCGAAAAAATAAATGCACCACTGTGTTGTGTATACATTACAATGAACTAAGATATCCGTTAGATAGTATCTAAATAAGAGAGAGTCTAATTTAACCTATGATACAATCCGACAAGTATGTATATATTCACTATATACTAATTGAATAGGTTAAAAATGAAACTATGTCGGTTTTTATATGTATATGTGTGTATTCGTTTTTAGTTATTTAATAAGTAGTTACATGAATGTTTAAAACTAACTACACCCATATTTACACATACACACACTCTCTCTCTCCCATTGTTTTGTTGTTGTTCCTTTGCTTTCCCACTTCTACATCTTTCTATCGCCCAAATTTTTTTTCTGTACTGAAGAATAAAGTAGACACTGACAAATACGAGATGATATGCTAAACATTTAATATATAAAAATTTTAATTTCTATATATGTATATTCCATGAGGAAGTCAATTGGGCTGTATTATTCTGTGCTAAGCTTATATTTTATGAAAGAAAAAAAAACAGACCAAACATTTCTTTTCATTTTGCTTTGTTTGTTTTGTTTATACTTCAGATTTCATTCTTTTCATAAATGATCAACAAATTTTACGTGTATATTTTGTTTCTATATTCAAGTGGTTTATTTCATTTTATATTGACGCAAAATGTATTTTCACTGAAAACAAGTCATGATGACATTTTATCATTAGAAAATTTATGATTTACACAATAGACTTGATACAATGGTTACAAATGTTGTTACTTTGACGTGATGGTTGGGCTTGCCTATCATGGTGAACCAATCGAACTATACTGAGTGGAACAATCGTTCCTCAATGTTCTACCATGCCAGACAGGTATGTTGAAGAGCGACAAAATTAAGAGCAGTAAACTCCAGGTCTGAGGGTGAAGTCATACTGCTGACTGTACAGAGGTATGATGGCAGTAAGATGTTTCCTTCAGATAACTAGCATAATAGCTATGCCGCCTTCCCACAAGAAGGGGTGAGGTTAGAAAACGTCGACCCTAAAAATGAACACCTTACCTAATCCCACAGACATCCGTCTTCAGCGGTAAAGTCTCAACAAGTACGGAGCTAACACGGAAACTGCTCACAAAAAGGTCGTGTGTGACCGACCTCAAGCAGTTGTCCTTTGTGCACAGCGATCACGCTCTCGGGTCACTAAGACAATCTCTGGTTTAATTTTCTTTTCAAGTACCTCCAGAGGAACCCTTCCACGGTGTGGGCAACCGGGAAGTAATAACCGCACTCATACCTCTAATAGCACTCAAGACCATTGTATTCATACTAATTGGTTACACTTTAGTGATTCGTTTTATAGGATCTGCCTGCGAAAATACATTATTTTTATTTTTACAAAACATTGGTCATAACAAGAATCAATCATTGATGTTTATAATACTAAGTGATAATATTGTTGAAATTCCATAGACGGATGGAAATCAATTAGGATAATGAGAGTTGTTGACACAATACCTTATTTTATTTCATTCAATCTTATTTTCAACTAAACATATACACGCAATTGCTTGTGCTTTCTAATTCTTGACTTATGGTTAGTTGATTTAAAATATGAGGCAACACTATAATTTATGAATGAGCTAATTAGGTTTAAGATAGAGAGTCTTGGATTTTAGTAAAAACTTCATTCATCTATATAACTGACTAATATTCTAGGATTATAGATGATGTCAGTTCGTTTTGAATGCCTTGATTCTAATTCCTGACCCTAACTTCTAGTCCCAAATCCAGAATCTGATTTGTAATCCTATTTAGCCTCTAGTAAGTAGGTGAACTTTCTTGAGTTCACTGTGGCGTTGCTCAAATGTTGTTCATACATTACAGTTTCACTGAAAACTGATCAGTTCATCCATTTTATGCAATAATTTAGAAGAATAGATTTATTTGATTCAGTTTTTACGGTCTCTCTCTCTTTTTATTCACTATCCTGTTGAGTAAAAAGAAAACATATATTTGAAGGCATGTAACTATTCGGCTTCAAGTCAGATGCTCATTCCCAGAACTATTTAGTGTCATTCATGAGTACTGAAAAGATATGAATTATTCATTCAATCCTCACTTCACAAAAATGGATGAACACTTTTTAACGAGGAAAATCTCTTTGATAATCCCATATTCTCAATCTCTACTGATAAGCATTTAAAAGTAATTTTATATGTGACAAACTATGATAAACTGAGGAATATCACATCATTCAGAGAAATTATCACAGATAGCCAAACTTTCTTAAGTATCCAATATAAAATTCTCTAAAAATTGTAATTTATTTATTTAAACACATAAATATTGGTACAAGGAGACACCAAATACACGTGCGCCACACAAATCTCACTCGATATGTGTGAGAGCTGTGATACTGCACAGGTGCCCAAACCGAAGCAGGTGGTTTTTTAAGGGGCCACTCCCCGAGCCTTCGACCTGAAGGTCTGATCCACAAGGCAGTGGAGCATCGTAAGGAGATGTAGTCCCATGGAAGCCGGTGACCAACAATTGGTTCATACACCATTTGTTCCCATAGGATACTAGAGCCCATATGCACCATTGATTTGGAATTCGGTTAAAGCGCCTGACATTTGCTTTCCGTCCTCTCATTTTCGTAAAAAACACCCCCCCCACGAGAAGGTAGGGAGTAATGGAAAAATTATCAAACGGTCAAGTCTATGCATTAGTCTTAAACGTATAAAAAATAATAATTTATTGATGATTTTCAAATCACAACTGTCCACTTAAAGAATAACGTGATGAATAAAATAATAGTTAGAATGGCTCCTAAGGATATGAAAGGATATGGTGTTGAACATTACTTTTTTGTACATAGATATCAAGTTTGAATTGGTAAACTACTATAGTTTCAATTGTATACGAATCTCTTATTCATATATTCTATGAGCCACTAACTTCTTTTAGCTTGATGAATGACGTTGAACGATGATTCGCTTGGTAGTATGTGATTAGACTATGTGACCATGTTTTCAATGATGGGGCAAATTGTTTGATTCGTTTCATAATGGTAATAAAACTGTTCTTAGAAAATAAACTAACATAAGTAGATACTTACAAAAATCTGTATAATAAGGTTATATTCTATCGTTTGGCGTCAATGCAAACATCTTAACTAATACTCAACAATCAATTATCATAACTTTTAATCATTACGGAGGTCAAGGATTATTATAGTTAATGTATGAAATTGTAATGTATCTATTATCGAAAAATGCCTAGTAATAATAATGATGAAATTATCGTCATGTCTTATTATTTACTGATATAAACAAACTTTAGTGGCGTCTAACATGAAATCATAGGTAGACGGCCTTTACAAAAACATGTTAAGATTCAATGAACTTTATTTGATTTCATGCTAACTTTATTTTAATGGATTTATTTTTCAAATAACACTGTCAGCTGGATATATGTATATGAGCTTACAGGTGTTAGAATACAAAAATGCTGATAATATAGCGGTCATTATCAACAATACCCGGTGATAATCACGCTACATCATGAACCAGTATTGAATATATGCCACGCAGAAGTCTAACTAATTCACTACTAGCACATTATCTAACTTTGAAGTGAAGATTCCTTTTTACTATCAATTTTTGACTTGTTCGTGATTGTAGATACACAGAGTGATTAGAATCATTTCACTGATCTGAAAATCAGTATTATAGTAGTTTGGAATCAGCACCAAAACAATAATCAGAGTGAATTGATATCAAATAAAGAACAATTAAGAATCTGGAAGAATCAGAAAACTCTTTTAGTGTTGCGCATTATTTAACGTTACTCATTAGTAATATTTTCAAAATATAACCATAAATATCCTTTGTAATTTAGTCAATGAAGCATAAAATAATGAACCGTATCGCAGCGAATCATTATACAAAAAGTGATGTAACTTTGAAGTTATTTATGACTTTGAATAACTTTCATATCAAATGTTATTATTTTAGCTTGTTAACACTTACTAACACCTATTAATTTAGTTAGATTTCAGTACTATCTAAAGGAATTGTATTAACTACATTTCAAGTATAGTTTCCTGTAAAACATAAGTATTTATCCAACTTATGATAATCAGTCAGTAACCTTATTGGAGATTTGATGAATAGAGATAATTTCCAGAATAGGGGTTGTGGAGATTGTTAAGTTTTTGATTGAGATCATGAATTTCATTGACAAGTAAAACAGTATGATCAATTTATACTTTTCTAATGACTATATGTTGTCGCTATTCAAATCCTGAATAGAGTCATTTATGATCTGAAATATTCAATAATAACATTAATGACGATAAGTAAGTTGAGTAAAGTAGATTAGAACATAAAAACTATCTTTTAATCTTCTCTGACTTAAACTAAAATTCATCTATGAATACTGAAGATTCATCCTTGTGATTAATTGTTATAACTAATGTTTCATTTTGATATTGTCACAAAATTGAAAATTCATAATTATAATAAATATTTAGGCGATACTCATACGACGAACTACAGTGCAAGGTCGTGCAAGAAGGACAGCTAACAGATGCATTCCAAGTAAGGACCGAAGTCAGACAAGGCTGTCTACTCTCTCCCTTCCTCTTTCTTCTGGTGGTTGACTGGATTATGAAGACCTCGACATCTGGGGGAAAACACGGAATACAATGGACAGCTTAGAACCAATTAGACGATTTGGACTTCGCAGATGACCTAGCCCTCCTATCCCATACACACGAACAAATGCAAATAAAGACAGCCAGTGTAGCAGAAGTCTCTGTATCAGTAGGCCTCAACATACACAAAGAGAAAACCAAGGTTCTCAAAGTCAAAACGAAGAACAGCAATCCAATCACTCTTGATGGCAAAACTCTGGAAGATGTAGAATCCTTCACATAACTGGGAAGCATCATCGATGAAGAAGGAGGTTCAGATGCAGACGTAAAGGCGAGGATTGGCATAACAAGGGTCACATTCCTACAATTGATGAACATATGAAACTCGAAACAACTTTCAACCAATATCAAAGTGAGAATCTTCAATACCAACGTCAAGGCAGTTCTACTGTACGGAGCTGAAACTTGGAGAACTACTACAACCACCATCAAAAAGGTATAAGTATTTATAAATAGCTGTCTTCGCAAGATACTCAACATCTGTTGGCCGGATACCATCAGCAACGACCTTATCTGGGAGAGAACAAACCAACTTCCAGCTGAAGAAGAAATTAGTAAAAGACGATGAAAATGGATAGGACATACATTACGCAAATCGTCAAACTGCATCACGAGACAAGCCATAACTTGGAATCCTGAAGGGAAGCGGGAAAGAGGAAGGTCGAAGAACACATTACGTCGGATGATAGAATCAGATATGAAAAGGATGAATAACAACTGGAAGGAGCTGGAAAGGATTGGCGAGGACAGGGTTGGATGGAGAATGCTGGTGAGTGGCCTATGCTCCTTCACGAGAAGTAACAGGCGTAAGTAAACAGTAAACAGATATTAAAATACAATATGATTTTATTAGTCTGAGAGCAAATATTTATTGATGATCTAGAATGGTAATATTCTTAATGATTAAAAATCAATAAACAGTTTACCAAATTGACTAAAAGAATACAATACCATT